TTATGTCTCATCAGTCAGCTTCATGGGATGATTCCAATTTCTGGCATTATGATAGAGGGAGAAAAATGTCCTTTTAAGGTGTGATAACCTGAACTGTACACAATGTTGTAAGTGCAGTTGCACCAAAAATTTGTATAAGGGGACTACAATCTAAGCAGTTTTATCTTTGGTTCTTAACTGAGGCTTCTGTGTACATTATCACACTTTTTACACACCTTGCAGACTTTACTACCACGAACAGGTTTGTCACATAAAATGCAAATCAGGTATGCAGTATACCATTTTTAAAAAGAAAACTTCCTGAGGTGTATGGTACTTGGGAGTGCAACAGAATCTTCGCTCAGTTCTGAAGATTTCCCCATGGGTTCAAAGGCAAAGTTACCATGCAAATTTTAGTTCCAAACAAAACTTAGCATTCTGCCTGAAGTCTGCTTTCCCATAGAGAATTGTAACAAATCTACAGAAGTTTCAGGAAATGGAAATATGTTTTTCAGGGTTATTTTTTCCAAAAAACAAAAAGATATTTCTCAAATTTAAGTAGTTTCAATCATCCTGCATTTTTATATCCACAATGTATCTCCACTTGGCTGTTAGGATTCTGATGGGCCATCTTCCCAGGCCCCATGGAATTGTTCTATGTAAAAAAACCCTTATTCCACATAAAAGTTGGGTGTCTGGACAAGCCCAAATTAGCTTGGGTTAACCCTGACGTTTTTTTCTTTGTGGGGCTACCTGGTAGCCTCTTCCCTTTCTCTTCAAACTTACCTGTCAGAAGCACGTTATAAGAAGCCCTGCTGTTGCAGTATTCATTTAGGCAGCAGCAAGATAATGGCTATCAGCACCACTGGATCCTGAGTCAGGACTTGGGAAGCCTGGTATTTCACAGTTCCTAGGGATTCTAATACCCACAATAGAGCAGAGCATGCCAAAAGCAGCACCCATGGAGATCCATGGAGATCATAGTTTACTAGGGCACCTGAGCTCAAAGGAATCAGTGACTGGGGGAAAAAGACATTTCTGCTTCTAAGGCTTTAAGCACCAATTTGAGAGGTTCCCTGTCCCTGTATACACCTGCCTGAGTAAGAGGATCTACCAAAGGGTTCCCCCACCCTGGCATTGGGAGCAGTACATTACATGGAGACCCGAAAGGAGATCTTCTCAGGTGTGGCACCCCAATTTTGAAATGTCCTTCCCACAGAAGCCTGGCTTGCACCAAGACTTCATGACTGGGCTCCTTACTCAACCTTCTTGGTTCTTGGTAATTGTAGTTTGGCTTGGTTAGACTTGTCTCTGATTTTATACTGGATTGTGGCAGTTTGCAGTGTATATATAATTTTATGTTGACTTGCTTTGATTCATATTGTCCTGCCGCAAGACCTTTTGATACAGGGCAGGTGAGAAGTGTTTTAATTACTTAATAATAAATATATAATACTTTTCTTAGAGATCTTGGTAGCCATACTGTTGCTGCGGCCCAATGAAGCCTTTAGCATCTGTAGCTCAGTGAAACAGGTGCATCTTGTCATGGCTGCTACCACTCCCAGCTAAGTTCTAATGGGAGCGGGAAGGGGGCCGCTGAAGCAACAAAGACAGTTGGTGCTGAGCTGAGCCTGACGTTCAGAGACGTGTAGGGTTGGCTCAACATGATCTGGAAGTTCCGGTGTGGGGCCGTCTGCATGTACTTCAATCTCCACAGTTCCAGACCTTGCATTAACCACCAAGGATTTGCAGTAGTGATGACTCCCAGTTTCACCCATGAGTCCAGTGGGTGCCAGGCCAGCTTTCCCACATCATTGTGCTTTTTCTTCAAGGACAATATGCAAAGCTATAATTTGGATAGACTTCTATCATAATACCCCTTTTGATTATTCATTGTGATTGTTCTAAGACACTTTGACTACACCTACTGGGGCAGAAAAAATCCAGGGCAATAGCTTGGATGACTTACGGTTGTTCACCCATTCAGAGTAAAATCCATTATTCTCCAGTGTCATCAGCAATCTTAGTCTTAATTATAACCAAGCTTTCCCCAGAGGGCCACTTGTTACCTTTCCTGTCATCCTGCAGCTGTTCCCTGTACTTAAAAATCTTTGTCTCAAGGACTTTAGTGCATAAGAAAAGCATAATTGCATTGCAAGCCAGGCTTGCCTTTGAACCAATCAGCAGAGCTGTTGAGAAGGCAGGAATGCTGGCAGCACCGAGCATGTGTATCCCACCAGGATGCGCAGGAGTCCGAGGCCCCTCTTTGAGGCCACCCCGCAGGGGCCTGGACTGGCTAGGCTGACACTAACAACTGACCATTCACACTGGTAAACTGCACTGCTCCAGTGTGGGGGAAGCTTAGAGCTTCAGGAGCCCTGGCTTATCGCAGCCTAGGGGTTTGGTTTAGTCTTGCTTGCTTACTATTTACACCAAGGGCAAGCCCAGAATGCTTTGCTGCCTGAGGCAAAGGACAAAATGGTGTCCCCTTTTATTCCACATACGAAGCCCAGCCAGACTGGGAGCTGAATCCAGTTCAACACTGGTGACAGGACAGGGTCTTCTGCCACTCTTGGGGTAGCTAAGCTGGTATACACGGAGCAGGTAGGCGGGGTGGAAGGTGCTCGGGAGAGATGCCCCCCATGCTCAGTGTAGGGCTAACCCTGTTATATCCCATTTTAAAAAATAATGAGCAAAGCAATTACAATAAAAGAATAAAACAAAATGATTTAGAGCAGAGCAATGTTGGGGGCAGAGACAACATGTGTTTTTCACTAGAAGGCAAGGTAGTCAATTGTACTTTTTTGTGCCCTCTATAGTGGAAAAAAAAAACAAAAAAAGGGTTATTAAAAATAAGCAGTTAAGAAACAAGAGGCAGCAATGTTAAAACTTCATCAAAAGTATCATAAATTTCAAGCAAGCAAGCAGCAGGTCACAGATTCAAAATCTCTTCACAATTTGCCAAAGAGCATGATAAAAGGCGCTGGTGCATCTCCACTGTAGTTGGGACAGATTTTTAAAGGGTTTTAAAGGCAAATACCAGCACTTTAAACTGAGCTTGGAAACATTTAGCCAATGGAGATGTAACATTTGCTTGATTCCAGTATCCTGACTCTTTTTAACAGCAGCTTGCTTACATGTCAGCCAAGTAAGGTAGTTCACAATTTAGTCTCTTGGTCTCCTGGTTCTGCTGCCTGCCTGCCTGAACCCGGGGAAGGGAGGATGACTGGGGCAGGGGGCTGTTGACAAGCAGCTGGTAGGTCACAAGATCTGCTTGGTGGTCCCTCTGCACCTTGATGAGTCACAGACTAGGCAGGCCTGGACAACGCTTCATGTTGATGTTGTTGTTTAATCTGCCTGGCAGAGAGGGTGATGTTTTTTGAGATGAGTTGCTCCAATGGTAAGATGCTGAGAAAGAAAGCACCACCATGAGGCAGAAATCAAACTATCTCCCTTTTCTGGAGGCACCCGCCAGGAAGCACTCCTTGCGCCTCCAGATGCTGCGCTGAGGCCATCCGGGGCCCTTTATTGTTCCTCTGCCCTGGTTCTGGCTTTGTTTTCAGTGTGCATGCATTTCTCTTGAGGAAACATTGGTAGCTTTAGGTGCAAAGAAAGGAAAGTTGGGTACCAAATGTTCAATGCAAGCAGGCAGATTGACATGATGCTGGGACCTTGCACGCAATCAATCATCAGCCCTTCTGTCCTCTCTTTCAAATAAAGCTTTTCCCCATTTGTGAGAAGAGATGTGGGCAAATCATTTGCTAGTCAGCTGCTCTGCAGCTGGAAACCTCCCTTTTGGCTGTTCAAAACCATCAATATAGATTGCATTTAAACAAGTCAGTTATGCAGATGTGCCAGCAGTGAAATAGATGGTGGTCTTTCCTATTTAGCCCTCTCTCAAAGCAGATTGAGGTATCCTCTGGGCTTTACAAGCCAGTCTGTGGGATTGACAGAAGCAGTTAGTTGAAGCCTGGTGTAGAATGAAAGGCTGAGTTTAGAACAGGCCTCCAAAACTAAAAGAGGTGCTGAAGAAGGACCGTGTAGTCCAGTGGCACAGTGGGTGCTTTGCATGCATATTCAGTTCTTGGCATCTCCAGGTGGGGTTGAGAAAGAGTCCTGCCTGGAAGCCCAGAAAGCCTTGGCTAGTCAGGGCAGACAACACTAAGCTAGATAGACCAGTGATCCAACAGGCTATGGGGCCCTTCCTACGCTCTGTGCGAAGTGGAGCATAGCACACGGCTGGTAGAGTGCGTTAGATATGATAAGGTGTTATCTGGGTCTTTTCCATTTGGTTCCATAAAATAGGATGCACTGCATAAGCAGAGATATTATCTTCTTTAGATCCACTTCTGCTGCAAAGCAGAAAGCCATCCGGCTGCAGAGGTCTGTAGGTCAGCTGCTGCTGGATTGGTTTCAAATGTTTTCTAGCGTTTCCTCCTGCTTGCTGTTGCATACAATTTGCCGGGATGGAAAGCAGGGGTTGAGTTTGTGCAGGCTCATTTGCCATTCTCAGCTGTGCTCTCTCAGCACTGAAAGACGAAGGCCATCCTGTCCCCAGAGCATGCCTGCGGAATGAATTGCATGGCATGTGGCCAACTGCCCAGCTTGTTTTGCTGATTCCTGTAGGCTTCTGCTTTTCTCTACAGGGAAGTTCTCAGCCTCCCCTTTCTTGGTCCCACAGTCTAGTCTAGTTGTAAGAATGATATAAGAGGAAATCTGCCACATTCACCTTGAGAAGATGGGGGCAGATTTCGTTTCTCTGCAATCTTCCATACAGAGACAGCAGAGACTGCATGCTTTAGCTCGCAAGTCACTTGAAATGCCATCTTGCCATCTTTATTCTCCTTGCTTTCTCATTTTATTGGATGCTTCTGTTTGTCTGCTTTGTGGGCAATACTTTGCATCATCCCCACCACACTCTGCCCAAAGGAGTTGTGAAGAGGTGATGGCAAATGGAAAAACCTATTAAACCTGCACGTCAGTAGCAACTGTTTCACACTGTTTCCCTATCAATTCCACAGATCCTGTGTGGGAAGGAAATCCCGCGTTGGGTGAACCGCTTGGCCTACTTTAGCTCCTGTATTCCATTCCTGCAAAGTTGCCTCCCCAAGGAATGGTTGACTCCAGCTGCGCTGCAAAGCCACATCAGCCTCGGCCTCCATAAGGAAGAGCAGGGAGACGCTACTGACGAGGAGTCCCCGTCCACGTCCGCAGCAGCTTCTGCCTCCGGCCCTTCGCGAACCTGCAGGCATACGAGGGTCTGAACTAGGTTCATCTGGGTCCTCTCCATCTGGGTCCCCAGTTTGTTGCTCACTTACCACCCAATAACCTCTCTATCCTTCTCTCAAATGTGCTTTCGAAGAGGAGAGGAAACACTTGCCTCTTTTTTAAAAATACTGCTGCGACTCAGTAAAGGGACTCATTCTAGAATTATGTTGTGTACAAGCCTTGGAGTTTCAACTCCTAGGGCTGATTTGTACTCTTTGATCCAGAAAAACAAAACAAATCCTTCTGGAATCTCCGGGACTTGACCTGAAGGGAAGCCATACTGAGATTTCCTCATCTGGAGCTCTTTTAATCCTCTGCCTCCTTCTGTCCTGCACACAAAACACCTTCTCTCCGGTTCCTTCAAGGTTGCATCGTACCTACAGTGCACCTCTTTCAAGCACCAAATGATCAACTGGAATCAGAGCGTAACTTTTTCATCCTGAAGACCAGCAACAGGCTCCAGTTAACGCTCCACCTTCTAATTTCTCTTTCCTTTTGTAATCACTAGTTTCTTAAATCATCTGAAAGATAAACGAAAGGTGCTGCTGTTTGACCACTGTAGATTTTTTGTGAATTAGAATATTGTGTAAGAGACTGAAGTACTCTTCACCCTTCAACAACAATAGCAAAAAGAGTCTAGCAATGAATCTGTGGATCCGAGTTTTATTTAGTCAGAAAGCTACAATAAGGACTGCTAATTCTTTTCTGGACAGAGGTTCTCATGTCTGTCATTACACCATGGGCAAATTTAAAAGGCACATTTTTTCCATTGCTGGAGCTGAAGTACATAGGAATCTGCCTTACACCAAGGCAGATTGCTGGGCTATCTAGGCTAGTACTGTGATCACTGACTGGCAACATCTCTCTGAGGTTTCAGGAAGTTACTTTCCTAGCCCTGCCTGGAGATGCCAAGGATGAAAACTGGAACTTTTGGCATGGAAAGCCCGAGCTGTACCACTGGGCTATAGCCTGCAGAACCAGGGTGGATAAAATGAGCCTCTTGATTTTTTCCACGTTATGGCAGCCCTGCCATACAAAACAGGGAGGTTACCCATGCAAGGCAGTACCAGTGCGGAAAGGGGTGGGGCGGGTCAAGTCAGAAATCAGTGTCTGTTGCAACAAGATTTTTTAAAGTGTTGGCCCTAGCAGAGCTGGAGGCATTTTGGCCCTACTTCAGACATCAAAATTCCTTGACTAGGCAGTGCAGGGGAACCGGTATCTGGAACAGAACTGGCCAGCCTAACTGGGCTTGCTACTTGGGGTGAACTAGCAGGAAACAGCTGATTCCCATCTTCATTTCTCTAACATGAGAATGGAAAGGAGAATATAAGAGCCTGAGAATGGGGAAACGATGGATGAATCAAAGCCTTTCAAATGCAGAAGACAATTTGTTCCATGTTTAAGGGCGATGATAGAAAATGTTGTATGTCTGACCTTTACAGAGCCAAAACTTAGAAGCCTTCTTCATATCCTGATCAAGCGCCAACCTTAAGAAATGCCTTGCTGGATCAGATCACCATTCCATGTTTGCCAACATTTGGCCACAGCTGAATCTTACTGGGTGAACTTTCTTTGTGAGCCGTTCTTTGGAGTCTGTTTCACTGCCCTGAGGTGGATGAGGTATCTGTCTGTGTCCGTGTGCTCTGTCTTTTTCAGCATAGCCCCCTTTCTCCAGTGCTTTGCAGTCTGCTCAGCTACTTGCGCTTTCTGGAAAGTTCTTTACAGGACTTGCCAGAACTTCTTCTTTTGGAACTTTCTGATACATCTGCCTACTGCGTATCTGAAAGTGAAGAGAGGAGGAGGTGGAGGAGGCAGTGATATTTTTGTCCTTTTTATGACAAAAACAAAAATGCCTGGCCCATCTTTTAGCCATTCAGGAAGCAGCAGTACTGGAAAACCCTAAGGAATAAAGCCCTGACTAAATTGTCTGGGTGCTTTCCTGAAAGCACACGCAGTTGGAGAGACTGTAAAGCGTGGGAGGAAAGCACATTAGAACAGTAGAAGAGTTGATCAAGTCCAGTGTTTTTTTCACACTTTGCCAAACTGGTTTCCCTTGGAAAAACCCACAAGTAAGAGATGAACGCAACAGCCGCCTCCTGCGCATGTTTCCCAGCATCTGGTACATGTGGGCATACTGCTTCTGCTACTGAAGGTAGGCTGTAGCCAGCATGATCTAGCCACCAACGGTCTTCTCGGTGAAGTTTTCTAATCCCCAACTGGGTGGCAATCACTACATTCGGAGGAAGTGAATTCCATAGCTTCAGTATGTGCCGCGTGAAGAAGGTCTTCCTTTTATCTGCCCTGAACTCCCATCACCCAGCTTCATGGGATGACCATGGGGTCTAGGACTGCGGGAGGGGGAGAATATAGTCTCCTTAATGTCTCCCTTTCTCTACACCTTTTATAGATCTGCACACTTCTATCATGTCTTCCTTTCCTCTAAGCTTACCAATCTCAGCTGTTGCAACCTTTCCTCACCAGAGAGACACTAGAGGTCCCTGCGCATTTTACGTGCCCCTTTCCATACCTTTCCAACTCTATGATAGTCTTATTTAGGTCTGGTGACCTGAACTGTACACCATATGCCAAGTGTGATCAAACCACATATTTGTTTCAGGACAGCATGACACTGGCAATTTTATTTTGAATTTCTTTCCTAATTATGCCTAACCTGGAGTTTGCCTTTTTCACAGCAGCCACATCCTGGTTTGACATTTCTGTCAAGTTGTCTGTCACAACCCCAAGATCTCTTCATTGGTCAGGCATTATTAACTCAAATTCCATCTGGTTATACTTGAAATTAGGTGTTTTGGATCAACATGCATCACTTTGTGCTTGTTTACACTGAACCTAACTCAACAAGAAAAAACACAAGCACACACACCCCACCACACACAGCAAGCTTGTTACAGTGAGGGAAGCACTGAAGCACTGCACATTTCTCCAAAAATCTTATTTTATTTATCAATTTTCAGGTGTGATTCCTTCTCACTTCCTTTCTACCATCAAATGGTACCACTTGTTTTTTTTAACCAACAAATGGTTAAAAAAAAAAGAATCAAAACTACAGTACATCACTAATTGTTTTGACCCTAGAATGCTAAGCTGTCTTTGAATGAGCTTTGTACTCTGATCCCGATGTCTTTTCCCCCCAAAATACTATCTTCTCTGTTTTTGCTGCTAGAAAATGTCCCCTGTGTAGCCGCACTGTGGGTGAGATCCCTTGGTGCCTACCTGTAGTTATTCCACTGAACCTTCCATGTACTACCAGCAGGGCTGCTGATTTTTAAATGCAATCTTGGCATCAGCCCAGAGTCAGCACCCAGCTTGGGGCCTCTTAATTGGCGTAGATGCCAGGATTATTTTACTATACCTTCAAGACTGTACAGCCCGGTTGCTCCAGGTTGACATGTTTCTTCCCAAAGGCCTCTGAGCCCACCTTCCTTATGGTTCTGCTGCATTATGGGCAATGCCTGGAAGCACTGCAGGACTGAAGATGCTTGCTGCAGCTGATACGCACTTCAGTCATTGGTCCAGCCCCCTCCTGCCTGGGAGAGCCATTCCCCTGCACTTAGCAGCTGGTGGGATAAGGACTAGCGGGCAGGACCAAGCTGCAGAGAGGCCACTGCAGAACTGCCTGACCCAGCATGGCGCCTTTCTGCTCCAGTCCTTGGAAGGGGAAAAAGTGTAATCCTGGCTGGGCTGGAATGCCATCTTTGTTGTTGTTCACTTTGCCAGGTGGAAGCTCGGGCAGGGGCTCTGTGTCAAAGTCACTGGCGGGGGAGTTATCCTGGAGGGGACCCAGAGGGCACTTTGCTGGTGTCAAACAGGCCTGCTAGAAACATTCACAGTCCACAGGGTAAGGCACAGTCATGGATGCGCCTTGCCTGTGAACGGTCCGAAGAGGAATTCATGAGATTTCCATGGAGGGCTTTTCTACATGAGGCATTATTGTGTTGCTAATCCCTGTATTTACTTTCAGTTTGCACTGGGATCTAAACTCTACACGCACCCCTCTTCCTTTCTTGCTTGCTTTTCTGTGGGGCAGGCTCTAGGTGGAGCTGTGCTACAGCAGTATAGCGCAAATACACTAGAAGGCCCAAAGCCATTTGCAAAGCCTGTTGCAGCCAAATTGTTCCTTTTTTCTTGTTCTTAAAACAAATGGATGAGAAAATGACCTGAAAAAATCAGAATTGAAACTGGAGGAGGATAACTTTGATTAAAGAGCTCATGATCAACTGTGAGTAAAGACAGGTGAGCACATAATCAATGCCTCAAGTAGAAATGTCCATGAAAAGAACTCGTGAAGAAGAGCAAGAATAGCCTTAGAGAGCTACCACAGAGTAGGCAGAACTGGCTAGATAGACCAAGAGAAATGGATGGTTGCAAAACTGCAGGTTGCAAAGAGGCTGCCGTGGTCCTTTTCCTCCTTTTCTCCACAGAGGATCTGTGCCTTGGACAGCTGCCCTTATAATCAGATAGAAATTCAAGAGTGAGGAGATGAAGTGATGGGTGTGCACAAAGCTTCCATATAATTAAGTTACTTGGCTTATTTTTATTTTTTTAATTGAGCCAGGGAGTCCAAATGTTCACCCAATAAAATAATTTAGTTCCATGTTTAGTTTTACCACTATGAGTGATCCTCTTTCAGGCAAAGAAACTATAGTAGCTACGTACCTATTTACCTTACATTAGGGTCAGAAGAAAGACATCCCTGTCCATGATGGTACTTCCCACTCCCCACAGTGTTCATGGATGAACCACATTCACTCAAAAGATGGAAGTCTGCAGAAAAGTTGGACTCAGATCACCCTAGACTTCCAAGGTAGGTAGTTGTGAGTGTACACACTGGTTATCACATATACATTATTAAATGAACACTTCCTATCAAAGCTCATGATAAGAAGGTGACCAGCCATCCACTGTGAGAAATGTTTCCCAGTTCTGTATTCTGAAATCTTAGAGTCCAGGTTTGCAGGAGTTGAAAAGAGACCTG